ATACATTTATTGAACATATAATGAGTCTAGAAATGAAACAATACATTTCATATGGATATAGGATATGAGCTGTTATGACATGTTATGTCTACCAATTTATGTCTGTTTTGATTACATAATAGTTTATCATTAAATACAGTGCGAGTGGTCTGAGGCTTCCCCCCCCCCTGTAGTCCATATTTAAGCCAAATAATCAATACATATTTAACCAATCAATGACCATGGTCACATTAGTGTTAAGCAAGCTATATTAAGGCTACAGTATGTACATTACTTAGCATTGTCTTATATGAGGCCATAAGGTGTAATGATCAGAGTATGCAAATGTGAATAAAACTGAACTTATTCAATTTATAATTATGCGCTGTATTAGCACTAAAATATATAATCTATGGTAATGTTGAAACTATTAATATATACCATTATATGAATGATTACTAATCATATAAGCAGATGAATTCAGTTTTAGCATACAATTCAAATAAATTAAAAATAAATATTTACATTATTTGGTAGACATTATTTACATTATGATTAATAAATATATGTACTGAGAAAGTGGTGTTTAAAACAGTTATAATTAAATAAAATGATTGATTGTGTGAATTAAACCAAATGTGTTGTTCAGCCCGTTGTTCGTCACGTGGAAGATAGGACGGGATCGACGTCTGAGAGGTTGTATCGGAACCTTCAATGCAATGAATTTGCATTTAGGACTGCGAGAGTACGCGATGACGAGGTATGCACTTCTTGGCCATCACCTCATGTCATACTAATTACTTAACCAATCAATGTTTGTCTCCCTAACAGCGCCTTCAAAGACAGTCGTTTCAGTCCAATCACTCGCGAAGAGTTGTCTAAACTTCACGTTTCGGTTTCGATTCTTCGCCACTTCGAGGATGGACTCAATTACAGCGATTGGGAGATCGGTATTCATGGCATCAGAATTGAATTCGTCACTGAGAAGGGATCCAAACGCACCGCCACTTATCTGCCAGAAGTAGCTCCAGAACAGGGTATGCCTTGCGGTATATCGTATCGCAATGTCATGTGATATGATGTAATGGATTGCATTGATTGGGACCATAGGTTGGGATCGGATCCAAACGATCGACTCTTTGCTACGAAAGGGTGGGTATAAAGGGATGATCACAAACGATGTGCGCCTATCCATACGTCTGACCCGTTATCAGAGCGAGAAGATGACCGTCAGTTACCAGGAATACAGAGACCACTTCTGCACCAAACGTTGTTAACAACGACTTTGTTTTAGTCCATCTTTAGAACTAAAGCAATTTCTTTTCGATATAACCATATAATGATATAAATGCTAATAATAACGAGTAATTCAAATAAATGTGTCAATCATTATGTATTTGAGTCGTAAACGGCGCCCAATAGACAAGTGCAGCGCTGATTGGCTGAGCGCTACATCTGTTTATTGTCTATCCATAGAAGTATTGAATTGAATGGAGAAAAATGGTTGAAATGTCGTAACACTCGACTCAACACAAACACAATCTATTATTTTTGTATTCATTTAATTCATTCACTAATTATTACATCTATTATACAATATATTATATATTATACAATACCTTTCAGTTTGAGTTATCTATCAATATATATATAAATATCTATAAATAAGTATATATACAAGTAATCAGTAATACATTTAAATAGTTATTATTATTAACATTACTCTTAATATTATTATGGTTTGTGTTTTACTCTAATCACAGTTACGTTATAATTATCCATCAAATTATCGCTTATTATTATTATTGAATCGATTATAAAGTTATTATTATATAATTATCCCTTAATTAACAGTTTAATCAAATAATAAAATATAAATGTTTACTCAATTCAAGTGGTTTTTAACACTCATTTGTTTTCATTTGAATGCAAATCAATAGTAAGTGTAATTCAATTGATTTTGATTGGATTTATTAACGAATGAATTGTTATTTATTTGTAATTATTAATTGTTTGCAACAAATAATTATGAAATGAATGTTGTGTTCATTGATTTGACAGCAATTTGTGTCATGTGTTTGTATGAATAGAGGATTGAATTGAGGGATCAATTGCGCGATGCCTTCACCCGAGAAGAGGTCGTCGTCGGCGCCGCCGGACAACCGGCAAAATCCCCGCTTAGAGAACACGACAGCCGCTCACAGGAGCTCTTCAGTGGACCGCAAGTCCAACAAATACTTGACAATTGAAGTGATCTTTTTGGACGAATCAACAAATGTCTATAAAATTACGGTATTATTCACTATAATCTATGGATTGTATGAATGGTTTGAACTAACAATTGGTCTATTGATGTGAAGTACAAATCTGTGGCCAAATCGCTGTTCAATCAGGTCTGCGAAACACTGAATCTCATAGAAATGGATTATTTCGGCATTGAATACATGGACTCAAACGGAACTCGGGTTTGTTTCTCACAGACATATAGTATAGGATTGCAATTGAATGACAATTGAATTGGTGTTTAGTATTGGCTCGATCTGGAGAAACCCATGTGTCGTCAGCTATCGATGTCCACCTCTAATGTTGTGATGTATTTTGCGGTCAAGTTCTACGCCCCCGACCCCTCCCGACTGGAGGACGAGCTGACGCGGTTTGACTATTCATTCACAGCCTATTGTTTATTATAATGCATGACATTATGTATATATCGACACATTGTATCCGATATGGCATTCAATACTCATTCTCTGCGCTATCCATAGATATCTTTTCAGTTTACAAATCAAAAAGGATTTATCAGAAGGACTGCTGGTCTGCAATGAAAATACGGCCGCACTTATGGCTTCATATATAATACAAGGTTTGCTTTTTTTGTCATATTTTTAAACTCAAATTGATATAAAATTTGTTATTTTCAAAACTAAAAAACAGCCGAAATCGGGGATTTCAATGCCGAAGAATATATGGATCACTTGTATGTCTCGCGATTTAAATTAATTCCACTTCAAGACGAAGAATTTGAGTGGAGAGTTATGGAGAACCATAAGAAGCACTTGTAATACACATATTATTCATACGAGTAATGAATGGATTGATTAAATGGTCAATTATTGTGTATTTCAGGGGTCAGTCACCAGCAGAGGCTGACTTTAATTTACTAGAAACTGGTCGTCGCTGTGAAATGTATGGCATTAAGTTAACGCCAGTCAAGGATCACGAAGGCGTTCCTCTTAACCTATCGGTCGCCCATTTGGGAGTAATTGTATTCCAGAATCAGACAAAAGTGAATACGTTTTCTTGGGCTAAGATTAGAAAACTAAGCTTTAAAAGGAAGCGGTTTCTCATTAAACTACATCAGGAGGTAAACCACGTCTTCTGCCGTACAAATGATTTATATTTTTAATTTATTGAATTTAAATTTAAACGCAGGAATACTTTGGAGATGTGGTTGNGTGTCACATTATCTCTAACGGGTTCATCAAAATCTATTAAATTGTCCACATTTTGAGTGTTACTTTCGGCACAAACATTAACGCTATACTGAGAGACTCTATTCGATAGACTTTTAGTCTCTTTATCTATAAGATAAGAGTCGTTTGATATGTCATCGACTTCGACGTCCATTAGGTCTGGACTCGCAAAACCCTCTCTACTCATAAAGTGAGTAGAACTCCAACCTGAAGGCCGGCCGTCCGATCGCCCATCAATTGAAGGACTCGGAGGTGTTTCCGGAAATGCGTTTGACTTATGAGAACTGTTCTCTTGAGCAGACTTTGGTCTCTCGTCATCACTGATAGCATTCGCAGACGAAAGCTGTACGGAAGTGATCGGCAGAATAGGTGTCACTGATATGGAAGAGCCGCCAATTTCTTCAGTTCGTTGATTATTCACATTAGAAGTCCTCAAACTATTGGACCTTTAATTTAAAATATAATAATTAGAAAAATACAATTTAGCCATAGATAGCAAACCTCTGGAAGGGTTGTCTTTTGACACAACTTTGACGGACGTATTCCATGATCTGCTGTTGTGTTCGACCACTATATCTATGTTATCATTTGATAAAACAGTTTTGAGTTAACA